GCAAATATTTATCAAGAGCTGACAGATACTTTGTTAGTTGTCAGGGATATACTGAGAACAATCTAGGTAATGTTGTTGAGAAGTGTTAGAGCTACCAGATTGGGTGAGAAAGGAGGGGTGAGCAGATATAAGAATATGAATGGCAGATAATGTACTTAAACATACTCAGAAAAATTCAAAGTGCCAAGCCATGTGATGATGAATAGTATAAGTACTACAGTATTATAGTATTATACTCTTATAGTTATTATAGTTATAGATGATTTTCAAAGAGATATGGCAGTTTAAGTCTTTATAGGAACTCCAGTCTAGAAATATTCTGGAACATTCACATTTTGAAGTTCATTTTCCGCCAGATTAAAAAAAAAATCATTAAAAAAGTCCCAGACTATTGGGCCTGTAAAACATGGTCCCATGTTCACCTTTTAAGGTTGCAATGTTTACACCTTTATCTGTTTTCCATTAAAGCTGACCTCACAATATTTTATATGGACAAACATGATAATTGAAAATTATAAATATATATAAATAACAATGGGATTCCGAAAGTCATCTTTTCCCCCTTTCTGTTTTCACATATTTTCTCAAAGAAGAAACTGAGTCTCATAGAAGTTCGGAGATTTTCCCAAGGAGTTTCTAAATCTGTTTCCTGTCTGAAACACTTGTGGCAGGCGAATCAGCTGTCTGAGCAGTTTTGGAGGTGCCCTGTGCAGTACGCAAAACAGAACAGACCCATCCTTTACATTTATGACCCATATTTCTAAATAGAGTTCTACTTCAGTGGGAAGACTAATATTGCACTCTTTCAAATGGTTCTTTAATTTGTATTTTTAAAAAATAGATCCTTTTTGACAGGTAAAGCTAATCCAGGATGCATGTTTATAAATATATTAACCATCACTTTCTCTTTTTTTCTAAATTGACTCCTGACACTAATGTAAGTGTACAGAGCTTCCTGACAAAGATTTTGCACAACCTCAAGGTAAAACCTATCTATTGCTTCTCTGCAGCCTGTCCCCTATGTAGAAGCATTTCCATTTAGGAAATGGAATAATTTAGCTTTTGGTACAGGTTTCTTCTTGGCTGACTGAAGATACAAGAATTTATTCTTGAATAACAGTCTGAGTATAAAAAAATCTGAGGGCAAACATGCTACTTATAGAAATATATAAAGAGAACTGAAAAGAAGCATCTGCCACACATTAGAAAACATTAAATTAAGAGAGGTTAAATACAGAATATCTAGTGCTACATGCACTAGAAAGAAAAATGAAAGATACACGAAAGATAAATACATGGAATTGCTGTAGGGTAGTGTGAAAAAAAATCACAGCAACCACATGTCTCTGATTTTTTAAGACAGTCCTAATTTCAAATATTTGTTCCTGTTTTTAAAACATGTGTCTCAACTTTTCTTCAGAGAAAGGTGTCACTGCAGGAAAAGGGTATTATTGAAACGAAGGTGTTCCAGGAGTTTATAGGCTGGAAACAGTGCCTGGAGATAACAAAACCACCACCACCACCATTTCACTTCCTCTCACCTTTTTGTCTCTGCACCTTATCACTAGTCTTTTATTTTCTGAGACCCTAATGTTATCATTTAACACCTGTGGGAGTATTAGTTTAATGCCTGCCTCTCAAGTTTTGCTAATTTTATCTCACTCCTAAAGCCATGACCTAGATCTTCCCATCATAATAATCAATCTCTTCTCTTGGCTTCCCTCTCTCTTCTTACATTAACTGAGACCTGCTTATTGTCTAAGGAATTGCATTCCCTGTAGCCCTCTCAAGCTATGGACCACAAGCTCTTCTCTCTTGTACTACCTACCCCAGGCTCCTCAGGAAGGTGAGCTCAGGGTCCTCCTTGCTCTCTGTGCACCCCTTTTCTGGTATGATCCAGAATTACTGTATTAAAAAATGCCTACTTTTCTCATAGTTTCATCCTTGCTAGTGGAAAAATTTGCTACCTGGTAAGCGCTTTCTCTGGAGGAAAGCAGAATTTAGTGGCGGTAAAGTACAATAAAAATAGCCCATGAATCTAAAGAGCTATTGCAGACGGGGTACTCAAACAAATAACCTAAGAGAGAAAGTTGTGGTCAGAATAGAATTCTTCAATGAGAGATTTGGGAGGTAGGGGCATTTCAGATGATAAGAAAGTCATATAAAGTGAGACAGGTCTGGACATAAGGGGTTTAATGTTGGATGAGTGTGGCACAGGAGTTTAGGTAATGGGGGGGTGAATAAGAATGGGTAGGAATATAGGAAGATTTGTAGATATGTAGTCAAGAATTGGAAGACAACTAATGTGTGACTGCTACCTTGCTTTTTTAAGAGAAAAGAGGAACATGGATAGTTTGGAGGTATCAAGAGGGGATATGCTACAAGACTTGAAATAATCATTTTGAAGAATGTTCTAGTGATTGATCAGGGAAACAGAGTATTATGGAGTGCCCAGAGCACAGTTAAGTGATGTATGTTCTAGTAAGTTCGTCTGATTTACTTCCTCTGAGTCAGTAGTTCTACACTTTAGGATAGCATCAGAATTACCTAGAGGGCTTGTTAAACACAGACTGCTGGGCCCCACTATCCCAGTGTCTGACCGAGGAAGTCTGTAGATGGGCCCAAGAATGTGCATTTCTCACAGGTTCCCAGGTGTTGCTGCTGTCGCTGGTTCTGAGACCACACTTTTGAGAACCACTTCTCTTTCTCCGTTCTAATGATTCTTCCTCCCAAACCTATGAATTTAGTGCATATATATATAGAGATATACACACACACATATATACCACAGATATACATATATATACCACACACACACACATACACATATCTCCTAAAGGCAATCTAGATTGATCCTACTAGATTGATCTTACTGATTCATCACATCACATTCCTAGTTCTCCAAATTCTTAACAGGTTTTCAAGACTCAATAAATTGTATAGATACAAAATTTCTACTCAATAGAAACCTCTAACATTATTTTACATTAACTATCCAAAATTAATCACAATGTAGTCCAACATAATCTTCTTTTAAAGCTGGGCATTTCCTTCACATTTCGTATAATTTCCATCCACTTCCACCATTATTCTTATTCAAGAGAATGTTCTCTGTACCACTTTACAATAACCTGTTACCTATGGCTCAAAGAACTTCTCTTTAAGGATTCCTGGGTTCTGGTCTAAACTGTTGTCTTCCTTTATTGAACTACTATTTTATCAAGAGTCTTTAATACATAATTTTGTTTTTTAATAATTTTTAACAATTCCCATTTATATAAACCAATAGTAAGCTACCTGATGAGAGGAACAAAAATTTTATACATTTTATGTCTCCTGCAAAGTGTTCAACACAGTACTAGAGAAATGATACTCAGTGGGTCTTGTTTATAATATGAAACTTTTACTTATATATAAAGAAAGTTTATATAAAATAAATTGCAGGTTACTGTCAGCTATATATTCCTATTTATTTCTACATAGAGATCAGAGATCATGAATGTGATTTCCTTCAGAGTGTAAAATAAATTTTTAAAAGGCGTTTGAATATATCTCAAAACCAAGGTGTACAAAATAAAAAAAAAAAAAAGCTAGGTAAATAGGCCATGCTTTCTGCTTGTTTATTCTTACCCAATGATGCTTCATCATATATTTTGAGTATTATAAAACAGAAAAGAAATATAGTGGGTTTTTCTTCACAGTAATATGGGAAAGTGACTTTTCCTAGTTTGGTTAATTTGGATTGAACAATGTAAAATAATGTTAGAGGTTTCTATTGAGTAGAAATTTTGTATCTATACAATTCATTTACTTTTCATATCTACACTAAAGTCAGAATCAGATTAGTTCTATGTTTTATCTTCTGATATTTATATCTACTGATATTTTTGATATCTTCTTTGATATTGATCAAAATAATGATGGTTGGCTTTACATATAATCATTATAATCATTCCTTTTACATACCCACATTGCTTTATTATTACAGATATCAGGCCAATAAAATTCCTAAAATATCTCGCCCAGAAAAATATTACATTTGAATTATAAACTAAATATACCTTTTATTAACTTCTAGCAAAATACTAAATGTGAATATTCAACCAATAACTGCCAAATGTGGGGGAGACAGAAAATAGGAATTAGACTCGTGTTTATTTTTGACATCTGCCAAATAAAAAATAAGATTTGTTCTGTGGTTTACTGAAGGGAATGACAACAAAATACTAAAAATTTGTTTTCATTATTTTTTGTATCTTTAGAGGCCTGGCTTAAAATAGCCTAATGTTAACAACAGAAAAATTCCTATTGATTTCTCTTCCTCATTTTTCACAAAACCAGGGTACTAGAAAAACCTTTGCTTCTGGCCTAAGTTGTCATGTGATTCCCCCAAGTTTTCCAGTGTCTCAGTCACAGAACTCTTTCTAACTAATCCCAAGGAGCATGACTTCATTTTTGTGTAATACTGGACCTCCAGAGAATTCCTAATAAATTATCTTTAGAAGAATGATAGATTAGTTAAAAAGTTTGCAGGGAAAATCTCTACACAAAGAGTGCCCTGGATCCCAAGTCTGAAATATCATAGGACCGAAACTATATAAAAAATACCAGTATGTTTCCTTTTTTTCTCCCAACTAAAGAAATAAATCAAGAGAATAGCTATTGTTAATCAAATGGGAACACATTGATAAGATGCAAAACAGAAAGTCTCTTTGTATGAAGTTGCTCTTATTTGCTGCATTTCTCCTTCCTGATTTACTTGATTACATTTTCTCAACAAAGCTACAAAGCTACATACCTTTGAAAAAGAATGGAAACTCAGAAAAAGTATGCATTCCACATGTCATTACTGTCCTTTTCATAACATTGTTTTACCCAAACCACATTAGGTGAAATCCCTTTCAGTTTTGTGGAAGGGTGTGGTAAGGCTTCTAAAGAAGTCTATTTTAATGCCACTGGAGAAAGGACAAGCCGTCCACACAAACCAGGTGACCACATACCGACTGCTGTCATGTAATCCCAGCGCTCAATGAGGCACATATTGAAGATGAGGTGATCAGATGTTTGCCCTTGGCCAATAAGTGAAATCTGCCTCTCCAAATTCTGGCAAACAGACGAAGTCCAGCCAACAAGAAACCAGAATACTACCAGAAGCATTACTGCAAGCATCCTCATGACCCGTCCACCAGTCATATATGGAATCCGCTGGGCTGTTCGTGAAAGAAACACCTTCAAAACCCTGGAAAAGCAAAACATCAAAATGTGAAGGCAAACCTAACACTCAGAAAAACTCCATAATATTTTACTTTTCTAGGTGAAATTCAAACACACCAAAAACCTACTTAAGCAGAATTTTAACATGGAAAAAACCCAGAAACAGTATTGCTTATATTTTCACTTAATTTCATTCTAGTTTTTATCTTCCAATAGCAAAACAAATATCCTACATTAGATGCCAGTGAGTCAATAGATTTGTATAGGATGGAATTCTTTTGAGTGTGTCTTAATATTTTAAGGAACGTGCTTAAGATCTTAAAAAAAAAAAAAAAAGATCCATAGGCAAGCTGGCTCAAACAGGGTTTCTGAGGTATCAAAAATAGTCCTGAAAATGAGTAGTCGGATTTCACAATATTATACTAAGTCAAAAACTTCCTTGAACCAGTTATTTTTTACAGTAGAATAATATGAAAGGTATTTTCTGAAAATTATTCTAAATGACCTCCCTTTGTAATTATCACATTACCAAAAATAATAATGAAATAAATATGCAAACAATGAGAGAGATATTTAAATACTAGAGTGACTGAATTAAGATCTCCATATTAAGAGGATTGGGATGACCTATAAGAAATTGATTTAAAAAAATTTTTTCTGTGTAATTCAAATGAATAGCTGGATTAAGTGATATCTAAGAACGGTTCCATCTTAGTTATTGTGTGAAGACAAAATCCAACCCTACTACAGAGGTCCTTCCTCCTACCCTTTTCTATAATTTTATCTCCAGAATATTCTTAGCTGAGTTAACTCCCCACTCTCATTCTGATATTTTATGTCACAAAAGTGAGTGGCTCATGATACTATCCATAATCAATTTCCAAAAGGCAAAAATAAATTTATTTTCCCAACTTTTCTATTCCCTCCTCAGTCCCATTCTTTCAAAAATTTTTTATGAAGTATTCCTATGAATTCTTCATAAAAATCATTATAAATCCAGAAATGAAACATACACACTTGAAATAGCCTAGATGGTATTATACTATTTTCTCTCTCTCTATAGACCTTTGGTAGCTCTTCCTGAATCAACACATCGAGCAAAGAAAGTTATTTTTTTAGCAGATTTTTTTATCCTTCTTTCCCCTATACCTTTTTTTTTAACCTGAGTTTTTTTTTTAAAGATTTTATTTATATGACAGAGACACAGCAAGAGAGGGAACACAAGCAGGGGGAGTTGGAGAGGGAGAAGCAGGCTTCCCGCCGAGCAGGGAGCCCGATGCGGGGCTTGATCCCAGGACCCTGGGACCACGACCTGAGCCGAAGGCAGACGCTTAACGACTGAGCCACCCAGGCGCCCCTTCCCTATACCTTTAACTCCATTGTCCTTCAGCTAACACACAGGATGAAGATATTTAATTCTGAATAAAATACTTACCCCTTAACTTTTCTGTGGAACAATGTCAGAAAGATATAATATAGGAGTATAGTAGAAGATCTCTTTAATCTCCATTTAAGTAGTTCACCAGATTAACAGTTATTCTCCATTTTATGTAAAACACAGTACTACTGCCCATGTCATGCTAAACGCCAGCACTGGCAGCTAACTTGCACCTGTCTAGTATGCCTCAAACACTTCTGCTCCAACCAGCTGAATTGCTACTTGTTAAGAATCAGTTGTATTTGTCCCCAAATTGTACCCATTGTTATCACCTTACACAATTTAACTAAATTATAAATAAAATAATTACACATGACTGTGAACAAAAGGAGACTTATTTGTATAAAATCTATCTTGAATGCTTTGGAAAGACTCCATGTAGGTGAGTCATTAAATAAGCTTGGGGTGGTCAATAAACATAAAAATCTAGAAAGAGTCTATACTCAGATTACTTCAAAAATCTTTAGAATTACACTCTTATTTAAGAACCAACATTGTGAACAGTAGATAATGCATTACAGTAATTTATGTTAGAAAGAGAAGAGTGCACTCCAAATACCAGACACATAGTCAAAGAAGGGGCCTTTTCTCAAAAATATTGGTAAATGAGGGGCACCTGGTTGGCTCAGTTGGTTAAGCGTTGACTCCTGATTTTGGCTCATGTCATGATCTCAGGGTCCATGGGGCTCCATGGGGCTCCATGCTCATCGCAGAGTCTGCTTGAGGATTTATCTCCCTCTCCTTCTGCCCCTCCCCACCTCGTGCTATCTCTCTCTTTCTCTCCCTCCCTCTAAAATAAATAAACCTTTAAAAAATATTGGTAAATGATTATTTGTGTGTTTTAAATTATAGCCTCTAATACACTTCTTTAATGCCTTTCTGCTTTAAACAAGCTTATCAACTTATTGACCAATGACTAATCCTATAAGAAGCCTTCTATCATAATTAGCAGATCAAAATATTCAGAGAACCCTTAGAAATAAGAGAAATTTTAAAACAAATTAATGTTTTTGCTTGTGCCAATCTTATTTTCTGTAGGAGAAACTTGCAACCACTAGGTACACATATTTGTTTCTGCTTATACCTGGATGAATTCTGAATTTTGAATGACTAGGAACTCAAAAGAGGAAATTTCGCCCCTTTTTATGGTCTTCTATTTTTTGGCTAGGCAGAAAAAAAGGGAATTCTTTTAATTCTAGACACAATTTTAATACCTGACATATAAGTATAACAAATGAATATTTATATAGTGACAATCATATGCTGGGTATCATGCTAGGCAACATGGGGGAATAAGATATAGTTCTAGAAGCTTACGATTTAACTAGAAATAAGTGTGCAAATAACTGCCATAGAAAACAGCATATATTCTATGTTGTATGTACCTAGTAGGTCTAGTAACATAATAGAATAGGTGGTATTTAATCTGGACTTTGATGGATACCAATAGAAATGGAGGATAGTGAAGGAGATATTCTAGCTGAAGGAAATCACATAATAAAGTACAGAGCAGGAAATATAAGCTGCATTTTGCAGAGGAAATCTGTATGATCCTAGTTTGGTAATCTTTTAGTCAATAAATCCCAATTCTAAATTATCAGAAATTTTCATGTTTTCCAGGTGACCCTCCGGGTATTTATTATATAGTCTGAGAATTCAAGATTGTCACAGATCCCATAACCTCATTTCCAGAGAGGAAAAACCAAAGCAAAAGCCCTCATGAATCTCCCGTTATTGATTTTAAATGGTTTTTGAATCCTGGGAAACACACTAACACAACTCTGTACCTCAATCTAAGCATTTCAGGATATTGGTTTTGGTATAATGGAATAAGATGCATTTTTCTAGCATTGCCTTAAAATAAAATGAGAAAATTCTGCCATATCTTTAAGAGACAAGCTCTTGTTAGTTTATATGGTTCATTCCCTAGAAACCAACTTCTAAAAGGGAAATCATTAGATATACACTTATATGAAATACAGCTGTAGGAAAAAATACAATCATTAAACTTCTTAGATTACTTTTCCTACTATATTTTTTTTTTCAGAGAAATATCTTCAGGCTACCCATCTGTTCAGAAGGTCTCACTATTTCTGAAGGAAAGCAGTAACATATACAAGAAGACTGCAAGAAATTTCCAGAATTTAACATAAAAAGGCGTATTTAAAAAATATATTCAGTTTTCATTATTAATAGTAGATAAATTCATAGCAATCATGTTGAAACAATGAAAAGGGCAACCCATGAATTGGCTGTCACTATATTACCTGCCTCTACTTTTCACTTCCCATGCATTTCTGGTTTGAACTTGTGAAACTCCACTGTCAGGATTTGTACTTAGGTTATCAATTACTTTCTTCAAATATCTAACTGATGTTGTTATTCCTAATTTTACTTGATCTCCACCTTTCAGCATGGCTAATGCACTTGGCTTCCATTCTGTCATGTCCTCTTGATTTTCTTCCTGTTCCTCTGTCAGCAACTTTGTAGTCTCTAATGCAGACTCCTTTTCACCAGGTTTCCCCTTAAGTGGTAGTGTTTCTCAAGGATCTCCTAAGTGTAGCCATCTAGATCTATTTCTTGCTCCACATATTGTACCCAGGGAATTCCATCTACTCCCCTGTTTCAGGGATCTACGGACTGGCAAGTCCCAAATCTGGGTCTTAGTTTAGATCTCTCTCCTGAGCTCAAAATCTCTCTACTCAGTGACCTACTGGACATCAGCAGCTCCCCAATATAAATCATCCCTCTCTCCATTCCTTGCTCCTCCAGCCTTCTTGGCTCCTGTGTTACCTGTCTGAGGGACTAGTACCACTTAACTGATCAAAGCAGAAACCTAGGAACAAACTTTAATTTTTCTCCCTCACCTACATTCCAGACATGAAATGAGGGTTCAGGAATTTAATTTCTGCCTCTTCAATATCTTTCAAGTCTTTCTTTTTCTCCATTTTCATTGCCACTATATAGCTCTTGGTCATCAACCTGCTCTTACAGTAGCTTCCTAATTAGTCTACTTATTGGTCTTGCCCACCTTCAACCCACACCCTACACTGAAGCCACAATGATCACTTCTGATCATGTTGCTCCCTGTTTATATTCTTTCAGTGGCTCTCCACCCAAATCCTAGCTCCTTAGTATGGTAAAAGGCCTTTAAATGCCTTTGAATATTGGTTCTCCCTTGCCTTGGCAGCCTCATCTCTTCACTCTCCCTTTCCTACAGACCTGCAGGTCCCTGTGGACTATATGCAGGTGTCCTCTGTCTGAACCTTTGCCCTCAGCTTTCCTTACTGCTCCTCCCCCCACAACAATACCAACACCTAATTTAGCTAATTCCTACCTATTCTTTCATGGCTCAGTTTAGATGTTGCTTGCTCTAGGCCAGTGATTCCCAAACCATTATCATCAACATCATCTGTAAACTTATTAGAAATGCAAATGCAGTATCTACCTGCTCTCAGGCTCATTATAATTTAGTAAACATAAATGAATAGGCAATTAAAATATAATGGTTTTGGGAAATGGTATCAGCAAAAATAGTGGAATAAAGAATCCCATAAGTCCATCCATCCATAAAAGCAATGAATAAA